TATTATTATTATTATTATTATTACTGGGGATGAATCATGGGTGCATCACTACCATCCTGGATGAAAGCATGCTTCATTGCAATGGAAGTATCCCAGATCATTTTCAACCTGGAAGTTTAAGGTATGCCATCAGCTGGGAAGGTTATGCTTACCACGTTTTGGGATTCTCAGTGAATACTGTTAAGGCCCCCATACACACACAGTTTGGCCTCCCGGTTGACCTGCACAGTTGAAGACTGAAAGGCAAAACTGAGGTGTGTTGTGTGGCCGGCCGGCTGGCTGGCCAATTGCTTGGACTGTTGGACTGTAGAAACCCGTCAGTCTGTCAGTTCTACCTGCAGGACGTAGAACATGACAGGTGGAACGCACGTGTGTGATGATACCGACAGGCTAATCTCTCAGTTGCTGCTGCTGTCTTGCGTTGTGTCTCAGCAATATAGGCTGGAAGACCGTGGCTGTGGCATGAAGCCTGCCGGTTTATCTGCGCATGTATGGGGAAGGAAAGGAAGAGGGCAAAATGTGAAAGTTTTGCCTGTAAGGTTGATTGGAAGCCCTTAGCCTGTTTTCAGAATTGCAGTGAAAATGAGAATTCTGTATCATATTGTGAAGTTTTGTTGAAGCTTTGGGATGGAGTTCGCAGAAAATGTCCAGGCTAAATGGAAAAATGGATACTTATGCCAGACCCCATACAGTCCAAGCAACTGAGGAGAGAATTCAAGATATGTGATACTCTGACTGTCAGCATAACACGACTTCAAAATAAACCTATCTAGTTGTTTATGTTGATTTAATTCAATAAATGCTACATATTTGGACCATCCTCATGACAGAACAGTATGCAAACAATAAAGAGAATTCAAGAACTACAATGGGAACTTTTTGAACATCTACCTTACAGTTCAGACTTGGCCCCTACTGACTTCCATCTGTTGGTCTGCTAAAAAACCACCTTGGTGGCAAACATTTCACTGATGAGGTTGAAATGAAGGTGCAGAAGTGGTTGAGACAACAGTCAAAAAACTTCTCTGCTGCAGGTTTTGATGCCCTGGTAAAGCTGTGGGGCAGGTGTATGAATATTGGAGAATATGTTGAAAAATAAATTCTTTTTTCCAGGTTCGAATATCAGATGTTTTACATTTTATATCCATTTGTGATCTCTTTTCTGACTCCCCCATAGATTTCTTTTTTCTCTCCATATTTCATCTTTTGTACATAGCTTCTAATTGAAGATGCTACGGGATGGATAACACCATGAAAGTGGAAATGGAGTGAAGCTGCAGAAGAAGAGGTTGATTTGTCACAGCATAATCCATGGATATTGTTAGATATTTATCCTAGTTATCTGACTTATTTATCCAAAAGTATTTTCACGCTTGTTGGGGGGGTGCATATGTGATGTGTGTGAAGTAGCATATTTAATGCCGTTTTCTAACTAGCTGTTAAAGACAGTTTTAAGTTTCACATTGTAGTTGTATGCAGATATGGTTAAGGATTTTTAGGCCTTTGTTTTTAGTAGACCAGTTATGAATGACATTTTTAATTGGAGACCTAAGTGAACTTTTGTTTTATCATATCAGATGTTCACTAAATTGAGAACAGATGTAGAGAAAAGCAACGTAGGTATTTCAATTTGTATGATATGCTGAATTTAATAAATTTGGTTAAATTTAGAACACAAAGAACTTTTAATGTTTTCATGTGTTTGTTCTGTTTTTTTATGGCTTGTTTTATGGTGCTGTCAGTATCTAGACTGTCTAACGCTGAATAGTAGGATAATTGATGAATTGGAGAGGATTTGGAAGGAAGATGTCTCGGGCTAATTAAGCTGTTTTCCTCACATATTCTTTGAGGGACTAAGGAAAACCAACTTGCTCAGTATATCTACCTGTTTGTGCTCACATTAGAAGATATAGTTGAAGCATATTAGGTTCTGACTTTGATTAATATGGATGTGGTCTAGTTCAAAGTACAACATTTATTCCCTTCCCCACCCTTTTTGTTCCATTTTCTTCTTTGTGTGAAAATGTGTTTAATTAAATCATTGACATGGATGAGTAAGCTAGGCTGTGTTTTCTGTTTGAGAAACATAACAGGAACTATATTTATATGTAAATTTTCTCTGCAGATAAGTGACAACTATTTAGGTTAGTTCATGTACATTTACAAGTCTTGAGCACATGAAGGCCAGATTATATGAGTGACTTGTTAGATTTTGTCTTTGGTTCATGCGGACATTGAATAATCTTATTCAGGTGGTACAGGATTATACTGTAATACTTTAGGCAGTTATTGAGATAATTTGGAGCAGAAAAGTTAACACAGTTGTCTGATTTGCCACTGTTTCAGAGTTATGATATTTCAACATTTGTGTCTCGATTTTCTTTTTCTTTTGTGCATGCTCCCCTGTGTGTGTCTCTGTGTATTTGTATGCATATTCATGTGGTGAAGCCTTCATAACATTGTATGATGGAGCTCATGCTGCGGTTGCTTATACCTCATATTGCTTCCAATGGCAAAGTAGTGATAACAGTGAAATGAGATGGATATTGTCTGTATTAAGGATAATAAAATTTGATTAATTAATGTTTATTCGATTGTTGTCTGTAATTAAAATAGAATCAACAGCCATGAACCTTAAAAATATGGCTCTGAAGGAAAGAAACTTTTCTTTCAAAACCGTAGTAAGAAAACTCTTTAGTCAGTTTTCCTCAATACCTTACAGGATTTAAAATTGTCATATGTAAGTGACTAGACATGGGTTTTGGATTGGTAATTGGAATTATTGAACACTTATAAATCATTAGTACAATTAATTATAACGCTCTCACTAATTCAGACACTCCACTTCTCACTACAGCACACAATAAATTTTGTCAGTTTGTCTTCACTAGCAGTTGCTAGGCTACTGCTCCCAACAATGTAGATTCCTCAGCTTCTGTGTTTGTGTCATCGCTGAATGGCAGCTGACTTGCAACTAACCCTTTTGTTGCAACTGATCTCTCCAGTGCAAATCACTACTAACTCGCTGTCTGATTTCTCCTGTAACTGTCGCTGATGTAGAAAACACAGATCCCAACCATTCTTCCATTGTAATGTGCATATGCGTTGCCAACCAATGGTCTCGGTGTTGTTAATATATTTACCCAGCTGTTGCCTCGCAGTGGACCATGTAATTGTGTCACGATATATAGATTGCAAACGTATTTTATATATAGATGAATTTTGTATGTAGGTGGCTGTGGATATGTGGAAGATGGACGTGAGATATTCGATGATGACCTGGATGATGAGTCCATTATATCTGCTGCATCACAAAATAAGAAAGAAAGAGTTGGACCAAAGAGACAGAAGGATAGAAGAAAGGAGATTAATCAGATGTCTTCAGATTCTGCTGGCAAATCTAGCAACATCAGAACCATGCTTATGAACATGCCAGCAAAGAAGAAAAAAGAGGTAGAGAAAGACTGAAGCACTGTCTCTCAATGTTTTGAATCCAGATTGTTTATGTAGGTGATAATTTCTATAGAGGTCTCTGTTTTTCGAAGTACATTGTGTTGCTTTATTCTTCAAATTAATATGTAATTGGCTTTGAAAACTCGGCTTCTTATGCGTGCATACGTGAGTGTGTGTTCTACCTGTCACATCCTGAGGCAGTCCATTTTGGATTGCTGTTTTCATATTGTTTTCCCATTTTCCAAATGACTTTTTTTCATGAGGAAAATTCTAATAGTGTTTATTTGTAATTCTTATAAATAACAACTGCTGTACCTGTGAAGAATTCTATACCTTCTTCTAGAATTTAATTCAATATAAAAATTATTGAATTTTAGAGAACCTTTACAATTTTAAAATGATATAGTTGTAGCAAAGGAGGAGTAAATGTAGAGGAAGTTAGTGGAAAATACTGGATGCTTGTAACAGCTTTCATATTCATTGGTTTGCATGTATTTTTTAAAATATTTGTTCCTTCTGAAGATGATGTACATTTTATCCAGATGTGCGAACATGACATCCTCTTCTCATTACAAGCGTACTTCTTTATTCCGTTGGAAAGGTTGAGATAAGCCACATATGTAGCATTTATGAGGGAGATGGTTGAAACAAGAAGAATATACAGGATTTTGAAAGGAAGAGACCATTTAGGAGACATAAAGATAGGTGGATGAAAGGGGAAGTTTGAGAAATACATTGTGAAGATGTGAATTTGAATGGTTCAGAACAGGGTCCATCGGCCTGTACCATAAAGTTAGTATGTTACCTTACTAGCACATGTTGTGCATGCCAGAAAATATATTTATTGGGTGAAAGGTATTCAAAATAAAAAAAAAATGATATCTTGGAAACTAATTGTTATACATGTATCTGGTTTATTGGTTCATGCCATCAGAAAGGAAAACTCTGAAAGTTTTTTTTTGTGCCTGGCTTACATGCATGTGCCGCCACTTCTCTGCCACCACCACTTCTCTGCCACCATTTTAGGAATCACCTGGACAGAGAGATGGCTGGGAGATGGATCGGCAGAGGTGGACCAGTCGCATGGCCTCCTAGGTCACAACATTTAACCCCACTGGAATTTTTCTTGTGGGGTTATGTGGAGAACATTGTCTACCAGGTTAAGGTCAACAACATGCAACACCTGAAAGCCTGCATAAGTGACGCTGTGGCTATGGCAACACCAAACATGCTTCAAGCAACATGGAACAAGGTCGAATATCATCTGGATATTTGTCATGCCACCAAGGGAGCCAATATTGAAATCCTACTTGGAAAGTTATGTACTCAGAAAAAAACTTTGATTGTTTCCCTTTGTCCTGTTGTAACACATAAATGTGAATAGTAACTGCTTTCTGAGATATAATTTTATTTTGGATACATTTCATCAGGACATCCTGTATTTATTGGTGGTGATTCTTGTCCTTGTCTCAAATCTCAGCAATTTTCTTTTTGTATGTCATTACTGTTTACCCCCTCGGTGTCTCCAACTTATCGTGGTGAGGGGGTTTGAGTATGCCAAGGACCCTGAGAGCTATAGCAGTGGTAGCGTAGCAACTGGGAGGACCTCCCTTGCTGGACAGGTCAAAGGGTAGGCATCAGACGAAGAGAGACACCAAAAACTGATGCCAGAAGCAGCGTCATCAGTAGCGACTTGAAGCACAGAGCAAATGATGCTCGAGATGGTTCAAGTTCGTATAGCAACAGGCATGATCAGAGTGGTTTCAACGGCTGTTGTACTGCGATGTGGAAAGCAAATGGAAAAACTACCACATCACTTTTCCTGGATAGTCTCTTTCCAAAAACAGAGATACCATGTATGCGAGATGTTTCCTCTGGAGACAAAACAATCTGGAGGTAAACTACTACCCCAATCGGATTTCCGGGGGGTAGTGTTTATAGAGGAAATGTCATGCAGGCGTTACAACAAGAAAAAGTGCGAAGATCAGAAGGAACATCATGGCTACAAGATTGGAACATGGAATGTAAGGACCTTGAATCAAGCAGGCAAATTGGAGAATTTGAAAACGGAAATGCAGAAGAATGAGGGGTGTGTTTTAACAAAAAGTTAATTCACTGTTAACATATTACCGGGAGTTGGCATTCACTGCACAACACAAGTAAAAATCCCCTTTAATGAGTTCTATTGTCACTGTAGGTAAAAATTCATCTATATCATAAAATGAATGTGAATGTAGAAACTATAATAACGCTTTCTTAAATTGATTTTTGTGCTTGGACAATTGTTTTATATTACCTGGAAGACTGTTGTAAATTTTAAGTCCAGTATACTATGGACTCTTCTGGAAAAGTGTTAAATTTGACAAAGGGAGATGCATGTTCAAACTATTCCTAGTTACTGCTGCGTACAGCTTGAAATTTTCAGCAAACATTTCCATATTAGCAACTGCAAACGTCATCAAGAAATATATATATTGAGAAGGCAAAGGTAGAATTTTCAGTTGACTAAAAATTCTTCTACATGATTCTCTGTTCCCAGCTCCCACAATTAATCGAACAGCTCTCTTCTGCAATCTAAAAACATGTTTGCTATGAGTTGAGTTTCCCCAGAATATCAAGCCATAAGACATTACTGAATGAAAAAAGGCAAAGTACACCGTTTTTAGAACATCAATACATAAGTAATGTTTGGATTTCCTAATTTTATAACAGGCTTCATTTAGTTTGCCTGTAATTGGTACAATATATTTTTTCCAAGGTATAGTATTATCCAGTGTTATTGGCAGGATTTTGACCTCATTAGATTCTAATAAAAGTTTATTTCCATATTAGTATTTAATTTTTTGGTAGGATTTTGTTTGGTGAAAAAATGCACACAAGTCTTTTGGAAATTTGAAGAAAGCAAGTTTGAGTTAAACCATTCATTCATAAATCTAAACACCATAGTAAGTTTCTTTTCAAAATGTTTGAAACTAGATTCATTGATTATTACACTTATGTCATCAGCAAATAATACAACAGAGGTATTTAATGGGTCTCAACACTATGTATAAGATGGTAAGTCATTTATATCAATCAGAAACAATAATGGTCCATAGATCGATCCTTGTGGAACACCTGTAGTAATTTTACCCCAATTAGATAATTTGTTTTTAAATTTTACCCTTTGATATCTATTTCCTAGACATGGCTTAATTAAAGAATACATTACACCATTTCTTCTTCTTTGGCGCAACAGCCCAATGTCGGGCCTTGGCCTCCCTTTTCAAGCCCCTCCATTGCTCTCTATCCTGCACTGCTTTCTTCCAGTTCCTTACACCCATTCACTTGTTCGCATCTTCTACCGCCACATCAATCCATCTAGTTCTTTGTTTCCCAGCACGTCTCCTACCACCTATTGTACTATATACAATTTTCTTTGGGATACGCTCCTTATCCATTCTCTGTACATGCCCAGCCCATTGCAATCTTTTAAGCTTATTGTCACTGAGATCTCTGGCTCCTTATGTAATTTGTATAGCTCTTTATTATATCTTATTCTCCATATCCCATTCTCTTTTATTGGTCCATAAATTCATCTTAGGATTTTCCTCTCGAATGAATTGATGACTGATTCCCCTTTCTTGTTTAGCGTCCAACCCTCACATCCATAATAACATAATAAAGCACCGGTCTTATCATTGTTTTATTGTTGTATTTTTGTTTTAATCACTCAGTCTATATCCTTTGATCTAAAACTGATAGTGACAAGGAATATGCATTACTCACTAGTCTTATTCTTCTTGTTATTTCATGATTTATCTCACCATCTTTGTGGAATTTTGATCCTAAATATATGAAGTCTTCAACTATTTCTATCCCGTCCCCTTCCATATTAATTTCTCCAGTTTGCCTTGGATTCCTTCTAGATTGTATCAACATTTTAGTTTTATTTACATTCACCCCTAAGCCAGTTGTTTTTGCTATGGTTTTTATTTCTTTATATGTCTCCTTCATTGCTCTTATGGATCTCGATACTATAATAATATCATCTGCATACGCCATTATTTGCATTTGTTTACACGCTATTGTGTTCCTTGTGTCTACCTTACATTTCCTCACTATATATTCCAATACCAAATTAAATAGTGATGGTGCCACACTGTCTCCCTGTTTTAATCCTTGATTTGTCTTAAAGCATTCTGTTAACTGGTTCTGGATTTTAACTTGATTGATTCTTTCTGTCATGGTTAAGTTAATTATTCTACTTAGTTTTGTTGGAATACCAAAAGTGGACATAATCATCCTTAATTTCTTCCTTATTATTGTATCATATGCTCTTTCAAAATCTATGAAGCATAAGTAAATATCTGTATTAAATTCCCAACATTTCTCCGTTATTTGTCTCAGGGTGAATAAATTGTCTATTGTTGAACTATCGGGTTGAAATCCTGATTGATATTCTCCTATTATTTTTTCTATATATGGATCCAGTCTCTTTTTTAGTATCCTTGTTAAAATTTTATATGCTGTTGGTAGTCATGATATACCTCTAGAGTTACTACATGTTAATTTATCCTCTTTTTTAAATATGGGACATATTATGCTCTTTCCCCAATATTCTGGTATCTTTTCTTCTTCCCACACTTTATTTATAATTCTACTGGTATGTTATCTCCTCCTGGTGCTTTATTTAGTTTTTGTTCCTTTAATGCTTCTTCCACTTCTTCCTTTGTTGGGGGCTCTATTGTCTCTTCCTTTTCCCCTTATCCATCTGTATTTTCTTCTTCATTGTCCTCATTATCTTCCATATTCTGATTTTGATTTAATAATTGTTCAAAATATTCTTTCCATGTATTCATAATCTCTGTTGTATTATTTATTAGAAGCCCTTTTTTGTCTTGGATAAATTCTGTTTTTGGTTTGAAACCTTCCTTCGTATATTTGATTTGACCAAAGGCATTTTTTGTTTTGTTATTTTTGAAGTCTTCTTCCATTTGCAGTAATTGCTCATTAAAAAGACCCGTTTCTTTTTCCTGCAAATCTTGTCTGCTTTCATTCTTGCTTCTTTATACGCCTCATTTCTTGCTCTTGTTGTTCTTTCCATATTTGAAGGAGAAAGCTCTAGATCGCATCAAGTGGAGGAACTGTTTTGGAAGAGACTGTGGACCTGTCGTCTTGACAGATTACAGATGAATGAATGAATTCCATATATTTCTTATTCTTGAGGTTTATACTCTCCCTACATTCCTCGTCGAACCATTCTCTATTATCCTGTTTCCCTTGATATCCCAGAGTCCTCTCGGCTTCTGTAATTATTGCAGTTTTAAAATCTACCCATATCCCTTCTACCATTACTTCTTTCTTTGCTCTATTGTCATTAATTTCTTTAATTTTATTTTGAAATGCTTCTCTCATATCACTCTCCGTAATCTTGTCAATATTAAATTTCTTACATTTCTCATACTGCTTGGATCTTTGACAACTTATTTTACATCTGTATTTAACCTGTACTAAGTAATGATCAGTATCACAGTTGGCCCCTCTTAATGTGCTTACATCCAGGATATTCATTGCAATCGCTTCTCTGTGAGGATATGATCTATTTGATTGAAGGTTACCCCATCTGGTGCTGCCCATGTTCTTTTATGTATATTTTTGTGCGGGAAGTATGTAGAGCTGATGCTCAAGTTCTTACTTTCTGCAAAATCTATTAATTTTATTCCTTTATGTGAACTTCGTGTCCCAATTACTCCTCTGTATTCCTTCTCTTTACCTATTTTGGCATTAAGATCCCCTAAAATAACCATTATGTCATTACTTGGTATTGAATCATATATCTCTTCCATTTATTGATAGAAATAGTCTTTGACCTCCTCTTCTTTTTCTTTTGTAGGTGCGTGCACGTTCATCAACGTCATGTTGAAAAATTTCGTTCTAATTCTCAAAGTGCAAATTCTTTCACTAATTGGTTTAAAGTCTATTATTGTGCTTTTAAATTCTTGTTCTATTACAAAGGCTACACCAAATTTCTTATTGCCTTCTGCTTTACCACTGTGACATATAGTGTGTTTCTTTAAGTCCATGATTCCTTTACCCAGTCATCTAATTTCCTGTATGGCTGTGATTTTCATATTGTGCTTATCTATCTGCTCTAGTACCAATTTCATGGCACCTGGTTTATTGATGTTTTTCACATTCCATGTACCTAGAGGGTAGTCCATATTCTTTGCCAATTGTTGTCTTCCATTCTTTTGAGGTTTCCAAGGCTTGATTCCAGGTTTTGAGACATTTGTATTTTTTTACGGTGAGAGGTCGTCATGGTTCACACAGTCAAAATCCTTTTCCAGGTCGAAAAATATACCTCCACATATTCTTCTATTATTTAAGGCTGTCAAAATATTGTGACATGTTGCGCAAAGCCGAGCCCCCCCCCACACCAGCAGTGANTAAAATTCGCTACATCAAATACATCGAGAAGTTATTTGTCGCGATATACGCCCGATACGTGACAATATCATGTATTAATACATAAGCTGCATTTTCAGTTGATACTCTTCCTGAATCCAAATCGACTGTCACCTTTCTTGTGTACAGGGACTATAATAGAACATTTAAATCTAGTTGGAAAAACTCCTGTAGATAATGATTTGTTAATAATGTAACAAGGGAGAGCTGATAAATGGTGCACTAATTTTCATTAGCTTCAAGGATATTTCATCATACCCATATAAATATTTCCAAGGAAGATTTTTTATGATTTTTTCAATTTCACCTGAAGAAGTATTATAATAAACAATGTATTAAAATATTGAAGATTGAGAGTCTGGGATAAGTTAAATGGCGAGTATGTAGTGCTGTTGATGTTAATTCTATCTTTATCCTTAATTTTACCAGAGATACTTTCAGCCATTTTTAAAAACTGATTATTGAATTTCTCTGCATAAATTTTTAAGGAGTAATCATCACAATTGTTATCTGTATTTCGTTTATCATATTTGTTATTACCTCATATTACACTTTTTATGATGTTCCATGTTCAATCTCAAGAAATTAAATGAGGTGGAGGGTAAAGAACAGTATCGTATCGAAATCTCAAATAGGTTTGCAGCTTTGGAAAATTTGGAAACTGAGGTGGATGTTAATAAAGCTTGGGAAACTATTAGAGACAATATAAAAATATCCGCCAAAGAGAGTCTAGGTTATTATGAACCGAATAAGCATAAGCCATGGTTCGATGAAGGATGCTCAAAATTATTAGATCAAAGAAAGCAGGCCAAATCGCAGTGGTTACAGGATCCAAACGAGTTAAATGGGGATAATCTGAACAATATAGGACATGAAACCATCAGGCATTTCAGGAACAAAAAAGGAGAATATCTGAAAGACAAAATTGATGAGCTTGCAATGAACAGTAAGAACAAGAACATTAGAGACCTGTATAGAGGAATAAATGACTTTAACAGGGGTTACCAGACTAGCAGTAACTTAGTGAAGGATGAGAATGGTGATCTGCTTGCAGATTCCCACAACATTTTGAATAGGTGGAGAAACTACTTCTCTCAGTTATTGAATGTACATAGGGTCAGGAATGTTACGCAGACAGAAATCGATACAGCTGAGCCGTTAGTACCTGATCCTAGCCCTTTTGAGGTTGAAAGTGCTATTGCAAATTTGAAACGGTATAAATCGCGAGTTAGTGATCAAATTCTGGCAGAACTTATTCACGTGAGAGGCGAAATATTATGTTCTAAGGTCCACAATCTAATTACTTTAATTTGTTATAAGGAAAAGTTGCCTGATCAGTGGAAAGAGTCTATTATTGTACCACTTCACAAGAAGGGTGATAAAACACATGAGAAGTCCATTAAGTCATATCTGTGAGGACCTGTAATTAAAATAAAATTTGTATTTTTTTTTCTGTTTGTAAACTTTCATAAGTGTCTTTAAGTCCATTCATTGTTTCATTTTTTGCAACATTTGAGCCTCCCCATAGTATAACCATATCATCCCAAGTTAGGGAGTTAACTTCCTATTCACACAGTTGCACAATATTTTGTTTTCATATTCCTGGCAGTACCATGCCCATAACCTGAAATTTCTTGTCCACTGGGTTCAATAATTTGGATGCATATCCTTTTATATGACTGTCCCCCATTAATATGAATTTATTTTTCCCTAATTCCTTTTTATTTCTATCTAACGGTTTATTATTTATTCATTCTAACTGCTTCTGTCCATCACAGTCACTGGGTATTTTGCTGAGTATTGCAAACTGCTTTAGAATTGTAGTTAATTGTTGTGGTTTACGTGCATTATTCCTCATGTTAGTTTTCCATTTCTTGTTGTCTTTTACTGTCTGCCATTCATTGCTTCTTATATTCCCATTCATATTATGCCAATCAGCATTCGTATGATCTCGAGTAGTACTTACATTAGCATATCACTGTATCAGGTCCACATCTTTCTTTAATAATTTTATGATCTCGTTAGCTGAGCTAAGTTCTTGATGTAGTTTTCCTACCTCTCTTCAGAGATTCAAGCACTGTGTACAATTCTTATTCGTATTCCACATGCCTGTTGGAACATTATTTTCAAGTTACTGGTCATACACTGCTACACCACTCTCCATATTGGTAGATAAATAGATAGATAAATAGACAGACAGACAGACTTCTTGCAAGCCCTATGAACTACTTCTCTTTGCAGGCCCCTGTGAAACTTGATGAAGATGCCATTCTGGGGGATATCATGGAGGAGCTTAACAGCACGTGTACAGTAAGGCCCACTACTCACGCTACAAAATTGAGGAGGTTGACTCCAGTCCAGCCTACAGACTTGGCAGCAAGGTACTAATATAGCATTTCAGATCTTGACCTACTTCACACAAAATTCATTGTGTAAAACCACCTCATTTGAATTTCAGGCTAAGATACTTCAAAATTTGGACAATTTAATCTGCATGTTTTCAGATGCATGTTCATTGCTTTCGATAATCTGGCTGCAGATTTTCTACACATTGCAGAGAATTGAAGCAAAACAGACTACAGCTACAAACTTTGTATGGTCAATTGAAGCAAAACAGACTACAGCTACAAACTTTGTATGGTCACATGTCATTGTGTTCTTTGTACCAGGAACTATATCCAGTCCCTGACATCTAGCACTCCAAAGTTGCCTTTGAAGTCTTTGACTCCAAAAGCAGTGCCAAGTTATTGTACTCCAACTACAGAGGAGGAGAAGACACAGGGAAGTATCAATACGCTACCAGAAAACGTAAGATACTAATTTAGGTTTTCATATAGAGGAAATTAGTACTATTTTATAAGTTGCTGTCAAATGTCACCACTGCAGGTGGCCTTTAATATTACACTGCCACTCCTCTTCTCTCTTTCTCTTTCAGCAGT